ACACACACACACACACAAAAAAAAAAAAAACCTGGGGGGGGGGGAGAAGACATAACAACTACAATTCCTTGAAATTGATACGACAACCAAACAGAAAGGACATTGTTGGGTGGGAGGGAGGAGAGAGAGGAGGGATGGAGGTTTCGGTAATGGGCCACAATAATCAACCACATTGTATATTGACAAAATAAAATTTAAATAAATAAAGTAAAAATAAAAATATTTGAGAGTTACAAGTTATGCACAACTCAACATATTTTTTAAATGTCTATTCTTTGCTAACAACTATGTTAGGTTCCTAGTTACTCTAAAATAAGCCACAGGCCCTACCTTAAAAGGTAAAGACCTACAAAAAGAAGACATGTAAACAAGTACAAACAGAACACAATACAATATAATTTACAAGTGCAACTAAAAAACAAACAAGCAAACAAAAAAAAAGCATAAAGTACAAAAGAACCAAAGAGAAGGTAACATCTGAATTAAGTCTTCAAAGATTGGGAGAGATTTTCCAAGTCATCTGGAAAAACAAAGTTGAAACAGACAGGTGTTTAGCTTCTAGCAAGACAGAAAAAAAGGAGGTGGGGGAAGAAGTCATTTAGAGAGTGAAGTGCATGGAGAGAGAGAAGCCAAGTGATTCCAGAGCAGAAAGTATGAACTCTCTTATGCAGCCCTTACAGACCATGTCAAGGTCAGGGTTTACAGCTATAGGGCAACGAGAAATCATTCAAGTGTTTTAAGTAAGATATTATCATAGTTTACATTTTAGATGGGTCACTATGGAAACAGTGTGGGGATGGCTTGTAGGGGAACTAAGATGACCAGACGATCAGCCTAGAGTATAATGGAATAGTTCAGGAGCCAAATAAAGGAAAGATTGAAAAGGAGGAAAAAATTTTAAATATCTTTAGGAAATGTTACTTTCACACAGTGACTATCTGATGGGGGAATGAGAGCAAAGAAAGAATAGACGGCAGTTTCTGGGTTTCTGGCTTAAGTGACCAGGTAGGTTGTGACAGCATTAATACAAAAAAGTAGAAATTCATGAGGTGTCCCCTGAGTACCTCAACTTCAATATGCGGGGAAGATTACAAGTTCAGTTTCCCACAGATTGAGGGTAAACTACTTAAGGGAACATCAAAGGAGGGCATTCCAACAGGCAATCTGAAACATGAGTGCAGAGCTCTTAGTCCATTTTCTGCTGCTATAACAGAATACCACAGACCAGGTAATTTATAAAGAAAAGAGATTTATTTCTCACAATCCTGGAGGCTGGGAAGAGCATGGCACTGGCATCTGTTGAGGACCTTCTTGCTGTGTTATCCCATGGCAGAAGGGCAAGCAAGCACATAAGACAGAGAGCAAGATGGGAGCCAAACTTACCCTTTTATCAAGAACCTACTCCTGCAATAACTAACCCACTCCCACAATAACTAACCCACTCCCGCACTAATGGCATTAATCCATTAATTACCTCTTAAAGGTCCCACTACTTAATACCATTACAATGGGGATTAAGTTTCAACATGAGTTTTGGAAGGGACAACCAAACCATAATAAGCCCAGAGCTATATGTTGCAGCTGTAAATATCAAGCTGGTGGGGTGAGAATATGCATGGGAGGAAAAACCATGGGTAGGACTGAATTATAAGAGAGAGAGAGTATACAGGAGAGGAAAGAACCAGAGCTCTTGGGAATACTCAAGAGGCAGGCAGAGAAAGAGCAAAAGTGTAAACTTTACTCCTTGCTATCATGTGCAAAAGCACTCTGCTAAGATGACTCACACAAGTACAATCCTTTCCCCATCTCATTTTAACTAAAATCCTTTATTGGAATTCCTTCTTTGACCTCTTCTCTTTATATACATTTTATTTTCTTCTGGGCTTCCATCCATACCATCAGAGCCCTTCTCAGACACACAAATTTGGAAAGGCAGGATCTCCTTATCTATTCAAACTCTGATCTCTCTCTAAACTCCAAGAGAACTTGTCATTTTAATACACACTGGCCAATAGAGAAACTGTTAATGCAAAGCTCACCAAAACAGCTCCCAATCAATGCCATCAATTAATATAAATACACACTGTCACTTCTTAAACATGTTTGAATACTTAAAAGTAAAGAATAACATATGCTGACTGACACTAACTCCTATCTCATCCTAGCAAAAGAGAAAAAAATAAATCCTCCCTAAGCCTCTGCATTCGAACTCTACTGCTTCCAGGCACGTATAACCAAATCCAGTAGTCAGTGAGGCCATGGAGATGGAAAGCCAGCTAAGGTGGGAAATGACCAAGGGGTTTTCTTGTGTTTTTGAGAATGAGATAAGACACTGTAAAACCAATACATATATCTTTACAACTTTAGTTACATTGTCAAAGGCCTTAATAACATCAGGTATTATAAGTACTGTAATAGCAAATGTATTACATAAAAGGATAATGCTCCCAGAATGCTCTATAGTCAGCTAACAATGCTTTCAATCCACTTCAATTCAAGAAGACCTTAAGAGAACTTGTCAAAACTAGATTTGGTGGAAATTCTATCATTACCATCATTTGCATGCCTGTCTCGCTGATGTTCGCTCTCCAGCAAGAAAATGAATTAGATTAGTAATACAATTTAAAAATTATTTTTCTTCAGAAACTACTTCAAATTCAGTAGGCCTTTGATGGATCTAATTCCTATAAAGTGTACAACACTCAGCTTAAAACTCCATTTATTTTGTCAACATCTTTAATTTAAATGATGGAGCTTCTCATTACAGAGTAAAGTTCTCAAGTTTTGAGAACTTGAATATTTACATAAAACATATATTGAAGCCAGGAACTTTTCAGTCCCATCTTTTATTTTCTAACAACAGTAACAACTGTGATTAATTTAGTGTTAGGGGCTTCTCAGTGCCAAACCTTGTGCTGGGAGAGTTTAAAACATTTTTCTTCCACTCACTTGCTGTGAACCTAAAACTGTTCTAAAAGACAAAGTCTCTCTTTAAAAAAATTCTGTCTGTTTCTCACTAAAATACCAAGCATAGCTATTATTAATGAAGCTCAAAGAACTACTTGTCCAAGGTCAAAAAAAAAAAAATTAGAAGATTCAAACCCAACCCTGTCTGTCATCTTTCCAAAACAAGAGATACCAATATTTACTATGTGCCAAATACCATGATAAACACTTTTCATATGTCATCTCTCATTTATTTTTCACAAAAGCCAATGAGACTGCTACAACTAATACTCCTATTTTACGGATAAGAAAACCAAGGCTTATAAATATTGAGACGTCAAATCACACAGCTTACTAAGCAGAATTCACTAGTATTTAAACCCTAGTCTCTCTGAAGCCACACTGCTTTCCTACTTTGATTAAAGTGATCCTAAAAGTCAGAATGAGATCTACGTTACTTCTAGAGAATGAAGAGATAAAATGATAGATAAGTTTAGGTATTTTCATGCCTGTATTTACAAGCCCTCAAGGGGGAAAAAAGAGAAAGGCATTTGATGGGGTGGGGTGGGATTGGACTAGATGGCTTCTATAGGCCTTTCCAAAAGTGTTTGAGTATCTGAAACACTAAAAAAAAAAAAAGAAAAGAAAAAACCATCAAAATTCAAAAACCTCCTTGTGTCTTTTCATAAAGAATATTTAAGAATGGTCCAATATAACTTACTCCCTTTTCTATATTAGTGAACAGATGGTCCACCCTAGAGATAGATGTAATATGTATTATCAAATAATTTTATTTTTATGTTTATAATGTAATCATCTTAAAGAAAATTCTCTAGGATAATGTATAGTAGAATAAGAAAATCTCATTTGGAAAATAATTTGTTTTAAATTAATTTCACTACTATGGAATCACATGTACTTACAAAGAAAAAAGAATGACTGAAAAGGCCAACGTAAGGCAAAGATTTGAGTCTGAATTTACTCTCCAAAGGAACAGAATTTCACGTTTTAAGTAAACAGTACTAAAATAATTCTTCAAATTGAAAGTGTAATTTCATGTAACCAAACTAGAAAGGATTAAAGAACACTCTGTTTTGATTTGGATACACTACAGCTATAATCCAGTAAGTTCTACAACAGTGTTTGGACTGGGTAAGGTATGTTGCTATGCTTCCCTTCCTGCACTGCTGCCAGCAAATTCACTCTTTGTCCAACTGGAATACTGAATAAATAAGACAATTCCCAGGACTGCTGTTTTGAGATGGAAAGATTTTGATTCATAGATACAGAATTTCCATTTGAACCAATTACCAACAAAGTAGTCTTAATACCTGTATAAAAGTATCATGAATCCATATGTCAGACAATCTCTTAAAAAGACATATTCTTGGGATTCAAAAGCAGAAAACAGCATGACATTAATTCAAGCTCCAGATGTCCTGAACAAGCTCTCTCTCTCTTTCTATTGCTCAGATACCGAATAATAGCTTCTTCTCAAAATTTTCCAACTTTCTTCTGAAGGACAATGAACCCAAAATAGCTTTAACACGTTACTCCACAGTTTATCCTCCTTTTTCAATCTTTCACACTCTCAAAATGTTATTCTGACACATGTTTACTCACACCATTTAATGTGGACCAAACCTGTGACTCATTAGCACTGATGTTACACAGCCACATGACACACCCTGCCACAGACTTCCTCCAACTCAAGGAGAGGAACACAGAGTAAATGTTACTTAGGAGTCAGATAAAGGGAAATTTATTCTGACTTTTCGAAAGAAAGGATGAAGGGAAGGCTGGGAAGTGAGGAGGTACAGGAAAGAGAAAGCCAGCCAGCTGGCATGTACTTACATTGGTCAAGGGGGCATGTGCAAACATAGAAAATCCTTCAAAGATATACTCGTGATCATCGTATTCTATAACAGTTGGCCTGTCAGTCTAAAAGCAAACAGAAACACAAAACATGAATTAAGTGAATGACAAGATTTGCATTTGTAGAAATCCATCAGGACTCAAAGTAACTAATAGGAGAAACATAGGAGCTTCATGCAATCTGTTAACATTTTTCCAAACACCAGGGAGAACTTTAAACAAAAGTTCAATTTCAGGTGAAATTCTCTTACTTGGTGGAATTCTCTGGCTTCAGATATTAAGTATAATATTTATGTACTGAGACAGTCAATGACGTTTACTACGGATGCACTAAGAACAAAAAGCCTCATATAGTTTCATTTTCTAGGAACTTGTTTTATTTAATCCCACAACACTACCAGTTCTGTTTCTTATAGAACTATATTTCTGAACTAATAGAAGTCCTGATAGCAACCAAATAACACTGTCCGCTCAAATGCAAAGTGAAAAAGGACTCAGCATCAATATGGTCAAGACTAGCAATAGCTTGGAATGCTCTGAAAGGCCTCAGGGTGCCAGAAGCTCAACCCCTCATAGCGCCATTCCCAGCCTCTCATCCAAGGGGACGCCAACCCAACAAATACTGTAACAAATCAATTCCTATGCAATGTCAAAGATCTTAATTACCTGAATATTGAAACTGAAATTAGACAATACAAATGTCAAGAGTCTCTCTCTTCCTTATGCCATTCTTATAGTCCACCACTTTTAATCTTAAATGCTAAATATGAAGGTAGTTATCAAGATTGGTAACCTAAAAGACACATTTCTTATGTAGGCATTAAATATCATTCTTTTAAACATTATATACATAAGAAGAACTTGGAGATAGAAACTAATGAATATCTAAATATACATTATTTGTTTTGCCAATGTACTGTTATCTTCTATTTGAGTAAATCAGCATAGCTGGCCTAAATTAAATATACTGAAAAAAATTTGATGAAATAATAGTCAATATGGTACAGCCCCTTTGGAAAACAGTTTGGCAATTCCTCAAAATATTAAACATAGAGTTACCATATGATTCAGCAATTCCAATCCTAGGTATATACCCATGGGAAATGAAAACATGCATCTACACAAACACTTGTACACAAATATTTACAGAACACTATACATAACAGTCAAAAAGTAGAGACAACCCAAATGCCCACCAACTGATGAACAGATAAATAAAATATGATATATTCATACAATGGAATATTGTTTGGCCATAAAAAGAAATAAGGTACTGATGCATGCTACAGCATGAACAAATCTTGAAAAAATTATGCTAAGTGAAAGAAGCCAGACACAAAAGACCACATATTGTATAATTCCATTCCTTGAAACATCTAAAACAGGCAACTCCATAGAGAGAGAAAGTATCTTAGAAGTTGTCTAAGGCTGAGAGGTGGGAAAGAATTGACTGCGAGTGGGTACAGGATTTCTTTTGGGATGAGGAAAATGTTCTAAAGTTAGAACATTTCACAGCACACAGATCATATTAGTGATGGTTTTACAAATTTGTAAATAGACTAAAAATCATGAATTACACACTTTAAATAGGTGAATTTTATGGTATATGAATTATATCTCAATAAAGTTGTTAAAATACATAATTATGACTAATCCAGCTTTGAAACTGAAATCTCTTGATGATACAAGTAATTAGAATAAATTTTGTGTTGTGAAAGGCAATATAGCATAGTAGAATAGCATATAGGCATATATACACACAAGATGATTTACTCGGTTCAAATAACCACCCTGCCACTTACTACCTAAGTAATCTTGAGCAAGTTACTTAATTTCATCTGTAAAACATGGACTAGTGCCCCATCTACATAGTGGGAATTAATATCCACTTCATAGGCTTGTTGTGAAAATTAAATAAGTTAACACATGTCAAACACTTAGAAGGGTACCTAGAACACAGCACATGCTCAACAAATATTAGGTATCATTACCATTGTCATAAAGGTTTTCTTGTTTGGTCACTAGACAATGAATAAGCTGCTGTTTTTTAAGAAATGTGGAAGTGTTCTACACATTATTCTCACTCTACGGCTCCAACGGATAGCTCCATAATTCATTTGCTATTATGAATTTATATTATGTACCAACAATATAAATGAAAAAAAGATACAGTAATATAGTGAGAGGAAGTTGAAATAAATGTCACTGTGTTAAAGGCCAATTTTACCAACACAAAAATAAAATAGTTTTTAAAAAAAGAACATTTAAGAACTGAATGAATAATCTAGCCGATTCACATTTTAATCTATCTACATTTTAAATTATATGCAATCTGATTTTGTTAGAAACTTACTAAAAAGTTTGTAGGAGGGGAGACTGTAATCCGGTAGTGGAAAAGTCTGCCAGCATTGTTGGTCATTGGACGACAGGGCTTGATGGCCTGAGGGGAGAAAATGAAAATGAGCTTACAAGTAAAGGAGCAAGATATTTTTATTTAAAAATAGGCTGTATTTTCTAGATTCACTTCCAACAAAAGAGGTTTTTCTATGTGTTCCTTCAGACACTGATAGGAAAGAATAGTATTTACTTTATCATTAACCAGATAAATAAAAAAGGGCTGGCCAGTCACCAGTGCTAAACCATTTCCTCATGTGCTGGTGCAGATGGGATGCATCCAGTAAGGCCACAAATGTCTGCAGGTTTTTAGGCCTGCACCATACTGTGAGCCTGGTGAACAAGTGATTGTCATCCGTGGGGGTGAGTGGGGAATGACACCAGACCCCTAGTGAGCAAAGGGTCCTGCCACTGACGAAGACTGGGTGCTCTTCCACCCAGGTCGGTGGATGGGCAAGCAAGCCACATCAAGGAGGGTCTGAAGGAACTCATGAGGCTTGCTGGAGATGAGCCAATGTGGGAGCCCCGTTTGACATGGTTGCCAGTGGAGGTCACTCTGTACTGGCTGCAGACAGCTGGACTGGGTCCCGTTGCATGGGCGATCAGCCTGGGAGGCCAGGGAGAATGGTGCCCAGGGTCAGACCTCTGGTTACAAGATGCCAAATAGCAGGGGGAGGGAGGTGATAACACTGTAATGGATGGTTGTGCCTCGGTATTTTCCAGGGTGGTGATGGCCTGCAGAGTTTGGTTAACTTCAGAGGCTATGGCCATCAGGGCCAGGAGAGTGGTAGAGTTTCCCTTAAAAACAACTGCAGAACATCTGGGCACAAGCTAGCCTGTTTAAGACTCTCCCAGTAGCGCCCCTGTCCTGTGGCGGTGGTGGCTGCATAAACCCACTGCAGCACACAAGAATGCCTCAGCAGCTGCTTTCTTAACCGCATGCTAGGTGGTAATGGCAATGCCTGTGCAGAACATCTGGGCACAAGCTAGCCTGTTTAAGACTCTCCCAGTAGCGCCCCTGTCCTGTGGGGGTGGTGGCTGCATAAACCCACTGCAGCACACAAGAATGCCTCAGCAGCTGCTTTCTTAACCGCATGCTAGGTGGTAATGGCAATGCCTGTAGTGCTGCCAGCAGTAACCCAGCACACTCAGGATCATCATTCCACAGCATCAGCCAGGCAGAGTGATGCAACTTTGAGATGAGCCCATGTGACTTGGGTGTGCTGCTGAGGGGGCTGCTGCCAGCAACACCCAGCAGGCACCACAGGGTGTAACACACCCCTTGAGAAGCTGTGCTGTTTCACTGGGAACACACAAAGGGACGGGAACTGGCTGCATGGAGTCTGCCAGTGCCGTTAGTTCCAGGGTTCCTGGGGGACACTCTTCTACTTCCCCCATTGGCAGACAACAGATAAGCTTTCTGCAGATAAGCTTCACCTTAGCCTTCTTGGTCTGTGGTGTCATGGTGCCAGGACCCTTCAGGTCAAGGAGCTCCTCTTGCATAGCAGAGGCTGGAGATATACCAGCCAGTGGTCAGCTCTTCAAGCCAGGGGTGTCCACCCCCCCCTCCCCCAGCATACAGACCAACCTCCTCCTGAGAGCCTGCCGGTCCTTATTAGGAGGCCAGAGTGGGCTTAAGGATAATTTTGGCAGGTTTTGCCTGGTGGCAATTTCCACAACAGAGGCACAAAGTAGAAAGCAGCAACAGGCCAGAAAGCAAAATAAAAACCACCAGACCCACTGTGGAATGTTCCACAGTGCTTCACCCAACTTCTTATCAGAGATAGTCCCCATTCATTCTAATTCTCCCATAGAAACAGGTGGCCTCACTCACTTCCTTACAAGAATCCCATCCTCCTCGCCAATTGTCGAGTTGGGGCGGGGGTCAGGTGATCCTAGTTAACCAGTTTCCCCAGGGGCAAATTCTTTCCTGTGATTTGATTCATATCAAAGATGAGTCTTACACACTGATGCTCAAGCAGTTTATTCTGGCAGCACTCTTACAAGATGGACAGCAGGAGCAGGCCAGACACAGTCAGGAGGCCAGATGACCACCTGACCAGGAGGGTGTCCATCTAGAGACCATTCTCAGAGTTTGGCAGATCCTTCCCCCTCTCTTACACCTGTGTTCAGTGTGGATTAGTTATCAGGTGTTTCTGTCATAAAGGGAGTTTAAGCTATTCTTGTAAGGGAAGCTCTGTTTCAGGTTTATAAAAGCTGCCTCTGTGCTGGGGTGGCCTTGTCTCCTGGCAATCCCCAGACTAGGTTGTATCATACCAGGGACGCACAGCCCTGTGAGATGCCCGAGTGAGAGTATGGCTATCATTAGTCTTGTAACCACAGTACGTTTCTTACAGCATACTCCAGCAGGGGGTCACACAACATGAGTCAAGGATCATTTTATGCCTAAAATCCTATGAATGTCTTCCTTTTACTTGTAAAATAACACAGTAATTGACCATTGGCTAAACTTACAAACTGAAAAAAAGCAGGAAAATTAATCTCAGAAGTAATAGCAGTGGATTGTAATAGGAAATTAAAAAAAAACAGTAAAAAGAATAAATAGGCTGAGTAAAAATAGCAGAGGGGCCAGAAACTAAGGAAGCATGAGAGGTGCAGAACAGAAAAGGCATGGGGCATAAGTCAGGAAAAAAAAAATAGAGAGCAAAAAAAAGCATCGGTGGCACCACTGGGTATGTTGCAACAGACACAGGGATGTGCCACCCAGAGCCCCCCTCAGGGAAGGACTCGCTGCCCAGTTGTGAAGTGTGCAGACAGCATAGATGGCAGAGCCTCCAGTGTCGGCTCCTTCAGGATCTCTCTCGGCTGCGGGGCCCCTGCCCTGACGTCAGGGGTGGCCCACAGCAGGTGCTGAGCGAGGCAGAGGCACAAAGGCCCAGCCGTCTCAGCCCAGCTCAACAGGCAATACTCATTCCACGATCACCCCCAGGTTGATGGGGCTCTGTCAGGCCTCACTCATCATTCAGCTAATCCCTCTGTCCAATGTTACTTACACTCTTCCTTCCACAGGGTTTATTATCCCTAACAAACATTGAGTCCCAAATTTCATCTTAGTATCTACTTCGAGAGAACCCAATATGTGGCAGTTGGTACCAGGAGTGATCTAAGAAAGCAGAAAATAAGATGGCGTTTTGGAGCTGAATCAAGTACCACCCAACTAGTAACGAGGACCTGTCACTGGTGATGGGTGGAGCACAGACAGCCCCTGGCACCAGAAGGCAGGCCATACAAAACTTTCAAAGATGGTGAACCAGGAGGCTGAACCAGTGGAAGCAGTTGTAATGTCCCAGGTGTTCAAGACTATGAAGGAAATTGTAGCCACAAGGATAACGGCTATTATCCTTTAGGGATGAATGACTATTGCTAGGCACCATGACGCTCTACAAAGATCCTCAAATCTCAGTCTGCCTGGAAATCACCTAGAAAGCTTGCTAGCTCTCAGATTACTTGTTCCCCACCACAGTTTCCAATTCAGTCACAGAGGCAGGCTGAGAATCTGCATTTCTACAAGTGCCCAGGTGAAGCTGATACCAGTTGGAAGACCTCACTTGAAGAACCACTGCTCTACAGAATTGTAACGGCAGAGGAGGAGGGAAGGCGACTGGAAGTGCCAGATGTGAAAGCCAGAGGCCTTTTTGGACCCACAGTGAGAGGTCAGAGAAAGCCAGGACCAAGCCCAGGGCATACCTGTGAGAGTGACCAAACCTCAAAGACAATTAACAACCAACCAAGATAGGTCTGTTATGCCAAGGTCAGGGCCCAGAAACCTGGATGGGGACATTTAAGTTTTGACTCCCCAGATTCCTCTAAACCTTCCAACTCTGCAGAGATGGCACATTCCTCCCTGTTAAGAATGACCACTGACCTGTGCCAGAAGACAGTCGAAGACCCTGTAAGGTAACACTGCCCCTACCAGCCACATAGACCCAGTACCCAATCAGTCTCCCCTTGTGTCCAATACACCTATAATCAGGGTAATTTCACAGCATAACCCAACTGGGGTACTGCTAGGAGGGAACAGATTATATATGAAAGGAGCTGCAAGTGTGCCAGCAGCCAGGGGAGGCTGCAGAGAACCAGACACTGAAAGACCTTCAGCAAAGGAGCCAGAACATAAAATTGTTTAGGGAAAGGTTTATTGACTTGGAGCATTCAGGATTCAAACACACTAGGATATGCTGAGAATCCTCTACCAGGAGGGTACCTAAAAGCATGAAAAAGCAATGGTCCACACTGAGTGAAGCTGAAATACCAGAATTGCCTATGGGAGATGGTAGAGGAAGGAATTCAAAGACTATAGGAAGTGGGCATATTGGAATGTATATAATATCTATGACTGGTAAATATACCAGATAACCATGCTCCATGGGAAGGACCAAGGGACATACCAAAAGGAATGTGCTGGTGAGAGGGGCACCAGCATCACTAAGAAGATCAGTGGTTGCCTCCTCTGCAGGCTAGGGCTGACTGTGGGAGAAGTGGTCAGAGAGCCAGAGCTTAACAACAGCACCAGGGATGACAGAATCCTGAACCAAGAGATGCCAGGTGACAGGACTAAAGTGCTAGAAGCCAGGTCACATAGTTATCAATACAACCAGTAAAGTCAAAGTAGCAGCCAATAAGGTCTGACACACAGAGTCACAGAAATAGTTAACAGAACATGGTGTCCTTGAATACAAAATAAACTGGTAGCCAACAAGAGTACTACTTAGTTTGTACTAACAGAAGAAATCGAGAATGAATAGCCAAGAGGCCAAAGGCAGGTCACCCCAAGAAACTCACACCATCCCTTGCCAAGGTTTTTGGATTAAAATCCATTGATTGGAGAGGTGGCCAGATCCCATTAGGAAGGATCCCATAACACCACAACAAGCAAAATGATCGTAACAACCCTTCATGTGGGTTCCTAGTGGGGAATTCCCAGCATATCCTGGTGTCTTTGAATCCTGAGCACTTCTCCAAAGGGGCCTATGGCAATTTACCAGGGTAACTGTACACTGGGGAAAAGGGAAAACCCAGACAGTTCAAAGAGTATTAGACCAAGTATCTGAATCATCATTGATACATGGAGACTGATGCATCATCCTGGCACCCCAGTTAGAATGGAAAATATGAGGCCAAGGTACTAAATGGAGCCGGGGTCAAGGTCTGGCTTATACCAGGTTTACTGAATCCACAGATTTACCCCAGTGGTCACTTCTCTGGTCCTTGAATGTATCACTGGAATTGACATACGTGGCAGATGGCATACTCCAAGATGGGTCCTTATCTGTGGAATACGGGCTACCATAACGGGAAGACCAAGCAAAAGCTACTGAAATTGCCACCACTGCCACCCCCAACTCAGGTATCAAATACAATACTGCATTGGAGAGATGGCGGAGATCAGCACCACCCTTAAGGATCTGAAGGACACAGGGGTAATGGTAATTATCACATCTTGTTTAATTCACAAATTTGGCCCCTGAAGAATTTTGGAGGATGACTGTACACTACTACAAGTTTAACCAAGCATCAGCTCTGGTTGCAAGTGCCATGCCAGGTGTTGTAGCTTAGTTAGAGCACATTAACATGACCTCATGTACAAAGTATGTGGCAACTGATTTGATGAATGTGTTCTTTTCTATCCCGGTCAGAAATGAGGATCAGAATGGATCACAGACAACATTCGCAGCCCCAGGACTGAGTTAACTCCCCCACCATCATACTATCCAAAGAGATCCTGGCTGTTTGGTTATACTGCATGATGGTTTAGATGTGTTGTCCTCCCAAAGCTCATGTCAAAATCTGATCACCAATGTGGCAGTACTGGGAGCTGTTTAGGTCATGGGGGGTGGATCTCTCATGAACAGATTAACAACCTGGGCGGGAGGGGTGGGTGGTCAGTGAGTTCTCATGAAAGCTGGTTGTTTAAAGGACCCTGGCACCTCCCCTCTCTCTCTTTCTTCCCCTCGCCATGTGATCTTGTATGATGCTTTCCACCATGAGTAGAAGCAAACTAAGGCCCATGCCAGATACAGCTTTTCCAGAATCATGAGCCAAATAAACCTCTTTTCCTTATAAATTACCCAGTTTGAGGTATTCTAGTACAGCAACACAAAAACAGACTAATATACTGCAGAAAATCGCACTGCTCCATTGATGTCTTTGACATTATATTGATCAGGCTAGAGGCCTTGGTAAAACACACACACTACAAAGGATGAGAGACAAACTCTACAAAGATTCAGGGCCCTACCATAGCCACCCAATTTTTAGGAGCCCAGTGGTCTGGGGAGTGCCAAGACATCCCCTCCAAAGTAAAAGACAATGATTATATCTTCCACCTCCTATGATGAAGGAAGCACAACAGCTGGTGGGTCTCTTCAGGCTTGGGAAGCAGCATAATCCACACCTAAGAATACTGCTCTAGCCTATCTAAGGGTGGCACAAAAGCCTGCCAGCACTGAGTGCAGCCCAAGTGAGAAAGGCCTCAGCAGTTTCAGGCTAGAGTACAGGCAGCCCTGCTGCTAGGGCCATACAACTTGCCAGAGCCTGTGGTGCTGGTGGGAAAAGATGTTGAGAGGAGTTTGTGGCAGGCAACACTGGAAGAATCACAATGGTGGTCCCTGGGGTTCTGGATCAAGGCCATGCCATCTGCAGTGAAGAACTATGTGCCTTTGAAAAAACAACCCTGATGTGCTACTGTACCTTCATAGATATGGAAGATCTGGCCAAGAGACACCAGTTAGACATGTAGCCAGAATCATCCATCATACGCTGGATTCTCTCAGTCCCATCAGGCAATAAAGCTGCGTGGCTCCAGCAACAATGCAGCATAAGACAGAGGTGGTATATCCAGAGCTGAGCACACATAGGAACAGCTGCCTGGGCAGGTCACAGATCCCCTTGGCTCCACGACTGTTGCACCAGCACTCCTCCCTTAGCTGATGACTAAGGATGTAAGAGTGAAAGCAGAGAAAAAAGTCCAAGCTTGGTTTGCAAATAAATCAGCTGCTAAGTGGTTGCAAGTCAAAAATGGACTGCACTATAGCCTCATTCATGGATGGCTCTGAAAGACAGCAATGAGGGACAATCTCCCCCAGTGGGCAGTTTCAGATGGTGTATCTGGTCATCCACTTTGTGTGAAAAGAGAAGTGGCCTGAAGTTAGAATATAGAGGGGCTCATGGGCCGAAGCAAGTGGCCATGGCAGCTGTTCAGGGGCCTAAAAGAAAAAAAATTGGCAGATCATGGATGAGAAGGTCTTGGGGTGGAGACCCGAGTGAACAAAAAGGAGGTAGCACAATGGCCTCTGTATCCCCTATGGATGCCCATCAGAGACCAGCCACCGCAGAAGAGGTACTGAGTACCATGTAGACAAAATGACTGAGGCAGCTGGTGTCAGCCAGCTTCTGTCCTCAACAACCCAAGAGTGATAGGATGGGCACATGAATGAAGTGACCACAGTAACAAAGATGGAGGCTTCACATGAGCCCAACAGCACGGACCCCACTTGCCCAGGCTTAGCTAACTAAGCAACTGCCAATGCCAAACATCCAACTGGCTAGCTACAATGACCATGCTGAGACCCCAAATGGCACCATTCCTTGAGGACACAAACCTGCCACTTGGTAGCAAGTTGACTACATAGGCCTGCTATATCTTGAAAGGGTCAGAAGTCTGTTCTCACAGGAATAAACATGTCCTCTGAGTACAGGTTTGCCGTTCCTGCCTTCACAGGCTCAGCTAGCACCCCCACCCACCCAGCATCCCTTCAAGGCAGGGCATGTTGCCCAGCTGTGGCGAGTGTGGTCAGCACACAGCCTGCAGCTGTCAGCTCCTCTGGGGTCACCTCAGCTGCTGAGCCTCCTCTCCCAAAGATGTGCCCTTCCTGGGACAGCCTGCCCTAGGGACCCGGAGAGATGGGGATATGAAGGCCATTGCAGCCCAATACAAGGAAATTCCAACAAGCCAGGCTTGATCAAACCCTCAGCACCGGTGGGCTGCCCCTCTGCTCAACCCTGCCACTGCTCTCTTCTTGTCACGGGCGTGGATCCCTAATCAATATCTCAAAGCTCCCAACCTGAGGCACATGCACGAACAGTCACAAGATGCCACCTTGTCCCACAATTCCTTGCTACACTTTCCAACTTTCAATCAGTAAAAGGGAAGCAAGTATCTGAAATTACCAGGCACTGTCTCATAGCCTTTATTTCAATTATTGTTATGCCTCAAACAAGTTTTACATAAAAATTAAGTATTTACATACACTACGTTTATTCATGCACTGATTCATGGGGTGATAATCCAGGGATTAATTAAAACAGCTTATAGAAATAAAAGATAATGGGAAAAAAATGAAGGAAAATAATTGAAAGTGAGTAGTTATCTATGGCTCTATGATGTAGAGTGTGTTCTACCCATTCAGTCAAACTTATTCAGTGTCCCTGACAAACCAGGAGTCAGCATACTACTTACAGTTTGGTCGGGACAAGGGACTAATAAGACACTGAGTCTGACAAGCACTTCAGTGAAAGAAAAGCACAGCAGGCAGCGAATGGCTGCCTTAACTTACACCCCCTACCCGTACCCGAGGACAGAGGACATGTGCCTCACAGCACTTTAGTTAAGAGCATTTCACCAGGGCAATTCATAACCATTAATGATAAAAACATATGAACTTTCAGAAGGAATGAACAGAACTGTGGTTACTAGAGGTGGGAAAGGGGGAGAGAAGAGGGGGGTTAATGAGAAATTGGTTAAAGGACACAAGAAATGATTACGTTTTGTAGTGATGAGCATGCTAATTATCCTGATTTGATCATCACACATTGAACACAGGTACTGATATTCAACTTTGTACCCTCCAAATATGTATAATCAATTATGCTTTCATAAAAAAAGCTAAAAACATGGAAAATATATATTCATATATTTAATTATATATATATTAACATATATAATTAATATATATATTAATATTTTTTTTTCATTAAAAAAGCTAAAAACATGGAACATATTATAATAGGTGCAGTTTTAAAATACTGAAAATAATTAAACACATCACATACACCAATTTTAAGTCATGATCCTTCCAAAACTTTCTAAAGTTTCCTTGATAACATTCACCACTCCATCCCCAAAACCCCAGTACTTTTCCTCTGCAATTATCGGTAAAAAAGACTATCGGGGAGTATGAAAAGAGTATTTCAATGGTATGTTTCACTTCTGAGGAAAAGAACAGCAACAATATCTGTCTAATTCTGGCTTCTCCACGTAAAAATCCAAACCAGTTACCTCTTCTCCAGGATAAATGCTGTGCCTAATTCCTGTGCGTCTCGCTTTTGCACTGCATTTGCAGAGTGGTCCATCATTCATCTGTCAGAAACACAATGTAATTCGTTTTTATTGGGGGAAAATCCTCACCATGCACGACGATGCTTCAGAAACTGTGTGGGTTTTAATGTCAAGAGTGCTGAAGCTCTGAAGAGGCTGTCACGGCTAGAAGATTAAACGGATGTTCCAAAGCCAATAAAGCTGCAAACTGTCTATATAGTTTGATAAAGGGTAGCCTTGTGACAACACTGGATTCCCAAGCTATTTGTGCAGCCAAGCAGAAAATATCTATGTCAGCACACAGCTTGCCCCCATCTTCTCCTACCACTTTTCAGTACTTTTTTTCCTATTTCTTATTTCAGGAAAAATGACTCTTTCACAAAAGAAAAGCATATTTATATCCTGGAGAAACACAGAGAATGTTTCAAAGGTGACCTGCAGATTAAAGGTTTTGACAAGAGAAACTTAAAGGTATTTCTGAAGCAGAGAGAAGAAAATGCCTACTAGAACCAGAAAAACTTTCAATATTGCTCAGGTTAGACTCTTTTTTCAGCTGAATTCATCTTACTGTCACCAACGTGACTCAATAAGTGAGCAATTCTGGAATACCTCTTGGATAGAAAAATGAGTGCTGAGCATCAGAGGGGATAAACAGCACAGGGTCTGTGTACACAAGTAACATTAATTCTAGGTAGGAGAACAACATACATATAATATGCTTGCTAATTTAAAAGAAAAAGAAAATCACTCTAAATGGAGGCACCACTGGGGCTGCAGTAGTTGGTCAGGGAAGGCTTCAAAGAGACAAAAAGGGCAGGGTTGGACAGGACAGGAAAAGAAGATGGCAATTCCACATGAGGCACCAGCACACATGAGAGAAAAAGAGAAGGCAGAAAGCCCACGTTATGCTCCAGGGCCATGAGACCTGTCTAAATGCAAGGCATCATTTATGCTCCAGGGCCATGAGACCCACCTAAAAGGAAGGTGAGAAGATCAGAGTAGCAAAACTGACATCAAAATCAAAGGCCTGAAGGCCAGTTTCAAGAGCTTATCCAGTATAAACGGTAATACCGAATCAAAAAGGAGATCAGAGCTTAGATGGGGAGAATGTGGAAGTGGAGTTCCATTTCTCTTTCTTTGTATTAATTAAAAAATATATATCTACATATATTTCTTTAAAGTTCTAGGGATTTGTAACTCATTGTACCCAATTAAAATGTAAATAAAAATATCTCAATAAGACTTCAAAAAGGAAAATTAAAGTGAAAGGCTATAAGTTTCTTTTGCCTTTGGGGAAATCTACAGCTTGAGGTGGTACAGCAGAGGAATAGTATAACTATCTAAAAATAATATTATGTTTAGATGTTATCTAAAGTAACAGCTGGCAAACAAGAGACATAATAGGATTCCATCAAAAGTCACAACACACTCCTGACATTGCTCAAAACTTGTGATGAAAAATGTGGGAAAATCATTTAGTGCTCACTGATTTCCAGAAAGCAGACAGACACCCTACAGGTTTGCCATTTAGTGCTCACTGATTTCCAGAAAGCAGACACTCCTACAGGCAAGTCTCTGATAGGAATAGAAATCCACAGAAATCAAGGTAGAGGTTTCCCAATAAAGAACAACAGTCAATTAAAAAGACCACAAACTGAGGAAGGGTTTCTTCTAGGGGAGACAAAAATGTTTTAAAATTAGATTCTGATGACAGTTGCACAGCCCTGTGAATATACTAAAAACATTGGACTGTAAACTTTCAGTGTGTAAATTGTATCATATGTAAAGTATAACTCAATAACACTGTTTGAAAAGAAAACCATATTTGTGATCAATACACAAAAATAAGTTTTAAAATGCATTGGCAATTTTGCAAACATTTCTCCTTAATTCCAAGAGCAAAAGGCACCACAAAGTACATTTTTGCCAGACATTCTAACTATATTGTTTCTATCAAGAAAAAAAAATTAGACAGCTGTCATCTAATAAGAACTGGGAGAAGAGCGTTCTAATTAATACAGAATGGTATAAATGTATTTACCAAATATAAATTTAAATGATACTTTTATAGGTATATGTTTTATTATGCTTAATAACTCCACATGTATTAAAGATATGAGATTTGTTTCTGAAAAATATATAATACATACAAAAATAGTACTAAGGTACTTCAAAAAGTTCATGGAAAGATTTGTATTATCTTTCAACTATATTTTTCCATGAACTTCTTGAAGTACCCTAGTATTATTTTTGTATGTACTGTGTATTTGTCAAAAGCAAATCCTTTATAAAGATGCTATTTTTATTATGTATTACTTCATAATAAAACAGTAATTTAAAATAAAAGTGATTATGTCCTGCTGGTACATCATTAGCCCGAACATGCATTACAAGGAAGAGAACTTACAAGGCCTTATCACTATAGGACTTGCTTACTATTTTGCAGCAAGATACCTTCCATGTGAACTGCTTTTAAAAAGCCCTACAAGTTCTGCAGTCCTACCATTTGTCTCTTCCATCTCCTGTAAGTTGAATGAGGCAGCACCATCATCCTGCTCCCCAACACAGAACTTACAAACACCATCAAATACGATTCAGGGAATAGCTGCTCTGGTGCTTAAGCTTTGGAGCTAAACTCTAAAGGTGAAAAGAAATAAGCTCTGAACAGTGACACATAATGCTGACAGCAAAATTCACTTTCAATACCAGTCACCGTGCATTTTCTGAGCCCAGAGCCATAAACATGATGTGTGGGTTTGCAACCTTCCTAGCAAGAGCATAAAAACACAAGCACCTGGCCTGGGTCGTTGTACCAAAGTTCGTCGTGCAGTCGGTCAGGGTGGGCCTTTTTGCGTTTGATTTCTGCAATGACGTCAAAAACTTCCGAGTCTGAACTGCTAGAACAGGTGCTGTCTTCATCAGACTCACACTCAGATTCACTGGAACTCTCTATTAGAGGTTGGGAAAAATAGACAGAAGTTTAAGAAATTAACAAGATGGTTTTGGTGGAGACTTCAAACGACCTAAACCTCTAAATGTAAGAACAGTTTATTCTTCCAGCAAATATTTGAGGGCCTACTCTGCACCAAACACTCTGCTGAGCAATACCAAGAAAAATAACACAGCCCATAATGCTAAGTCATAATCGACTTGGGAAAGCAAAGAAAACAAAGATTGTTACAGAGAAAATAAGACTTATTGAACAACACCAGACTCAATGGAAAAAAAGTAGTAGTATGTGGCTTCACACTTAAAAAGCTGTAGCGATTCAGAAAAGGGTGAGTGCACCGTGATCTGGAAAGGACAGTGACAATTTCATGGAAGGGGCATGCGTGACCAGGCACTGAGGCAGAACAGTAGGAAGCCGATGAGGAGGAGGCGAGAGGAAAGGAGCGAAAGGGAGCACATAGGCAAGGGCATGGAGGTAAGAACCTGGGCAGATTCCAGCTGGACACAGGCCCCACAGAAAAACAGTGGGATGGCTGCAAATGCAAGATGGAAGACTTTAAATTTTTTTCTCTCAACAACAGCAATAGAAAATTTTAGTCCTTGAAAGTGCCTTGGTAAAAACAGACGTAGAATTATGCTACCTGAAATAAGGCAGTCACAAAAAGACAAATTCCACGTGACTCCATTTATACGAGATACCTGGAATCGTCAAATTCATAGACAGAAAGTCAAATGGTGGTTGCCAGGGGCTGGGGAGAGGAGCTGAGGAATTATTGCTTAATGGGTATGGGGTTTCAGTTTTGCAAGATGAAAACAGTTCTGGTTGCAAACAATGTGAATGCACTTAACCCTACCGAACTGTACACTTAAAATGGTTAAGATGGTAAATTTTATGTTATGTGTATTTTACCACAATTTTTAAAAAAAGACCTAGAAGTTAGAAAATCCTAGAAGAGATTAATGTAGTAGCAGCAAAATAGTAAAATCCAACACAGAATTGTATTTATGTGTACTGCATGAGGTAGATGCTATTGTCATCACTATCTTACAGATGGGAAAACTGAGACACAGAGGTTAAATCACTTGCCCTGGGTCACATATCAAGTAAGTGCTGGAGAGGAACTGGAAGCCAGGCCTTTGGACTCCTGAGACAGTGCTCTTACCCACTACAGATACTGCCTGTCAGCACATGAGATGTAATGAAGGTGGGGAGATGAGCATCAGAGGGAACCCGTACACAAGAGCACATCGAATGTCTCATCTGTGCATGACATTCTGTTAGGGTCTAAGGACACAAAATATTAAAGCAGTTTATGTCCTCAAAGATTTCACTTAGAATCTCATCTCCTTGGAACCTGAGAACACAAACACTAAAATATAGAGAGTGCCATGTGAAAAAGTTATGGAAACTGTCTGTGTGAGTAGATAAAGTCTCAGACAGAGCCAGGCTACAACTGCTGTTTCCTCATCAAACCTCCTGGTTTGAGGGCCAACGAGGGCTGCCTGCCATTGTCAGAGGTAGGGGCACAGGCTCCTGCTTTCAGAGGAGTGCTCGACCACCTCTCTTCTGATTCTAAGACTGGACAGTCCTACAAGGAACACACTGGTTAGCATGCTTTGCAAACGAGATTTCTTCCGTCTCCTGCTGAATGTGACAAAGGAAAATAAGATCAAAAAGAAGAAAGTTCCACTGCTATGTATTTTGCTGATTGTAATTAAGCAAAATAAAATGTAAATGAGGAAATTTCAATTTAGAACTCTCAAGGATACTTCACCAAAAGTCCAGGATTAAGTGATAATAACAGAGCACAGGGTCTTGGTCTAGCGACTCTTTGACTCACCTAAATCTTCATCTAGCTTGGTCTTTGGAGGTTCCCACGGTGGTCTGGCAGCTTTGGCCTTTTCTTGCCTGCTCCCCAACTCTTCCTCAAATCTGTCATATAAGTCACGGAGTCTACTTGTCCCAACTACAGTAGAATCTCCCTTTTAAAAATAAAGGATCAATATTAAAAACTATATTAATAATGATCATATGAAAGATACACAAGACTTCACAAGCACAGAATTTTTAACAACCAGACATAATTTTTCAACTTCAATTTAACAAACATTTAAAAACAAAATACCCAATGCTGGTAATGCTATTCTGAATGAAACTAACACAGTCCTCAGGTAAATGCACTTTGCCAACATTCAGAAACATCAGAACTGTTCATCCATGCCCTTTGATATGACACTAAAAAAGAATCATGAGCCTTGGAAAATTCATGACAACCAACACCAGACACCTTCCTACGGAATGTACACTCCCTGCTGAAAGTCACTGATAGTCTTCCTTCCACAACAGCCCAATGAGCAAGAAGAAAGCCTATACCCGCCCCCACACATATCATAAACACAGGGATAGACAGAAACTCTCCCTCTCTCACATACATAGGCACACACATGCATGCATGTATGTACACACACACACACACACACACACACACACACACACACACACACACACACACACACACACACACACACACACACACACACACACACACACACACACACACACACACACACACACACACACACACACACACACACACACACACACACACACCTAAAACATAAGGATTTTGCAATGCATTCCTACAGGAAGTTCTCCACTTCTCCCCACTCTTTCCAGGTTGAAAAATCACTTTAAATGTCCATACTCTTTCACTTAGTAACCTCAAAATGTAAACACCAGACCACTTAAATGTAAATTAAGGCAAATCATAAAATCTGCTACCCAGGAGAGGGGATAATTGCTTGTCCTCAGGCCTCACTTCACTGATGAGACGGACAAGGCCGTGGTAGCCCTGACATTCCTACCAACCTCTCTGCACCATGGGTGACAAAACTCAGAAGCAAATGTTGGCCTTTTGGGTTTATCAGTCTTCCTTCTACATTAGAGTTTTAATATACCCATAACAACGTTAAGAAAAAAAACCAGCTTGGCCTGTTTAAATTCTCTGAACTTCAGTATCTTCATCTTTACTGTTTTAAAAATATAATGTCTATGGCAGCCATTCTTCCCTTCTTCCTTGCTAATAGAAGTGTGATTCTGTTCAGATTTTGGGCAGAGAACTCTTGATCTCAGGGAAAGTGGGCCAAACCACCACCCTAATCCCAAAGATGTCCACGTCCTAATCTCCAGAAGCTAAATATGTTCTCTTACATAGCAGAAAGTACTTGCAGATGTGATTATGATCATAGAATTTGGAACAGGGAGATCATCCTGGATTACCAGGGTGGACCCAATCTATTAATAGGTGCCCTTAATAGCAGAGAACTTTGCTAATAGGGGTCAGAGAAGCAACAGAAGAAGAGGCAGGAGATACTCAAAACATGAGAAGGACTTGACCCACCATTGCTGGTGGCTTTGAAGATGGAGGAAGGAGTCCACCAGCCAAGGAATGCACGTGGCCTCTAGGAGCTGGGAAGAGCCCTCAGCTGACAGCCAGCAAAGAAACAAGAGCTCCATCCTATAGCCACAAGGAACTGAACCCTGCCAACAACCTGAATGAGCAAGAGAACGGATTTTCTCCAGAGCCTCCAGAAAGAAACGCAGCCCTGCTGACACCTTGATTTAGCCAGTAAGACCCAGGTTGGACTTCTGACCCCCAGAACTGGGAGATAATAAGTGTGTGTGGTTTTAAGCCATGCAGTTTGTGGAAATTTGTCATGACAGTGATAGAAAACCAATCCCTGGGGTAGGCATGTGACACAGCTCTGGCGAAGGGATGGGAGGGGAGATTGGGCAAGGTGCTGGAGGAATCCCCATCCGACATGCCCTCTGCATCCTGCATGTGGACACAGGTGTGAAGGACGTGATGCTGCAGGTGCTGCAGCATCCATTACCTGTGGAGGATGCTCAAGAAGACAGCAGAGCCCTGCTGTCACCGAGCCACCAAACAAGTACCAGCCACTGCCTCCCTCCAGACTCCTTGTTACGAGAAGAATGTGCCTGGCTCGTTTAAGTCAAGTTTAGTCAGGTGTAATTACACACAGTAGCACTACTAACTGACAGAACACCTTCTTGCCAGTAATGTTCTGAAGATTAACTAAGATAATGTGAGAAGCATGGAGTAAAGTTCCGGCACCATGAAAGTGCTCGTTACGTGAGATTTCCCTTCCCTCTATCCCACAAACTACGTGACTTAAAAGCCTGCTCTAATTTATCAAGTAAAATATCACACCACTATGAGAGACTTCTCAAACCCTTTTTTTCAAAGATGTGGAGATCTCCTTTCAAGTTCCCCACAGACGAGGAAGGGTCCAAATAGAAACTACTTTGCATTCTTCACCTAAGATATAAATACCATGCCAAACCACATTTTACTTTTTTTAAACAGTGATTCCTAAACACCAGTCTGGTGGCATCAGAATCACCTGAAGTTTACTTGTTTAAAAATACAAATTCCCAGGCCCTACCCCAGATCTACTTACTGAATCACAGTCTCCGGGGGTGGGGCCCAAGAATCTGTATTTTTAGTAATCTCCCCAGGTAATTCTGGTGTGCATCCAGCAGGTTCAGGAACAACCAGTAAACCATAACTCCTAGAAGAGAAAGATATTTGAGAAATATTTGGAAATCTCCACATATGGACAACTTCAGCAATGACATTACTAGTTTTGAATACTCCACATCTTGCTTTGCCAGGAAAAAAAAAAGACTTCACAAAACATGGTTTTAACTTGGCCATAAATTTAGCCTGAGGACTAGAATCCAAGAGTAAAACAGTTATATCATCCTTAACCATCTCTCTGGAACTCCAGACTTGGGTATTACTACTTAGTGAACCAACACTTTTTCTAATTCTGATCCCCACAAATACTAATATTAACTCAGTCTATGGCCATACCACCCCGACCACACCCAATCTCATCTGATCTCGGAAGCTAAGCAAGGTCAGATCTGGTTAGTACTTGGATGGGAGACCACAAATACTAATACTAATTCAGTTAATAAAGAAGGATGAAAAAATAACTCTGTCTCCTTGAATTCCTGAGGCTAGAAATGCGCAAAGACCCATCCTATGGATGTACTTGGAGGGAAAAACCTGTAGGGTAGATTTTAATCTAAGCCCAAGAAATTTAGGCAAACATACAGACCTTGAGAATCCAGCTAAGGAAAATAACTGCATTATTAGACCAGCTAGAAGCCTCCACAGCTCCATTAATAGTTACTTCTATCCAAGAAAGTTTACATGCCAATCAAAGTAACAAATTAACTATTGTCATTAACTCTACCACCAACTTCTAATTTTACAACAGGGAGGGAAAGTGAGTGAGTGAGTGAGTGAGTGAGTGAGTGAGTGAGTGAGTGAGTGTGTGTGTGTTTGTATACTGGGGGTGGGGGTGATTATAAAGATTATACATATTGATCACTTATTTAACTCCTAAATATTATAACATGCATTATTAGTTTTGTTACCAGAAAAAAAACTTACTGTCAAAATAAAATGTGTATTTTTACTGTAGAAAAATAATAAAGCATAAACAAAAATCACCTATAACACTACTCAAAAACAAGTATATTTCATGAATGTTCTAAAACATCTATAGATACATGAATATATGTATGTGTGTATATACATATACATATGCTTAACAAAAAAGAGAACTTTATAGAGCCTGCTCTTCTAATCCAACAGTAAATCAAGAACATATTTCTATATCTGAATCGTTTTTAATAGATGCATATTACTCTTTTATGTGTGCATGCCATAATTTAACAAATCTAGTGAGTCATTTCAGTTGTCAATATTTATTTTTTCCACTATAAACAACACTACCATGAACACACTTGTGTTGTTTACGCACTTGTCAGATTATTTCCCAAAGTGCGCGTACTTTTTTTTTAAAGCTTCTCTCCAGATAGGTAGCACCACTCTCCAGATGGTAGTTTAGACAAACATCAAAACCACATTCAAGTTCCCATTCTTATACATCCTATCAATATGGCTGTTCTTAATCTTTTCTATTCAGAAGAAAAAAGTATTTAATTTGCAATTTTTTTATCACTACTAAAATAAATACATCTCATGCTCACTTCATTTGTAAATATCCAGGTCATATGCTATACCAACATTTTTTTAAACTAGAATTGAAGTCTTTTTTTAATTTATTATTAGAAGAGTTTTTATTAAAGTAATCATCCTTCTTCTGTCATACATATTATAATCTTTTCAAGTTTTTGGTTTTCCTTTTAATTCTCTATATTTGTCTATTGCTAGCTATAACTTTTATAAAGCTAAATCTAGATATCTTTTCATTTATGCTTCTTGCCTAGGTGTATTACTTAGAAATCCTTTCCCATCCTAAAATTAAATATTTTATATTTTCTTCAGTTACTTTTAACTCTAATTTTTTTTACACTATTTCTCCAAGATATAAGGCAGAAATCTAATTTCAGTCTTTTCCTCCAAATGACTCACAATTGCCAATTTCTACTATGATTTGAAAAAACAACTGTATTATTCATATTTATATAACAATAGTTATATATGTTATATATAACTCTATATTATTTATTACATGTAAATTTTATATAAACCTGAATGTTGCTCGATATGTTTCATCGATCTATTGATACCCATATCAAATTTTTTAAATTATTATGTATTTCCAGAACATTTAATACTAGAGTAAGTATCTCTGCATTTTTGTTTTTCTCCATTATCCTAACTTCTATTCCAAAGAAAAATTAAAGTCCTTTATGACGTTCTAAAGCCAGTACTTCAACTGAAGTTACATTAAAATTAGAGATTATCTGGAAGGAAACCGGTATTTTTACAGCATGGTCTTCCACTACAGGAATGCAGCACACCCTCCATTCATCTGCAGCACCTCCTCTGTCATCAGATATATTTTATAGCTTTCTTCCCATTGGTCCTATATATTTTTTATGTTTATTACAAGATATTTAATTCTAATTAATTTAAATTTCTGTAGTGAACCTACTTTTTTTTCCCATTACATTTTCTAAGTAGGTATTCCTAGTATTTGGGAAAGCTATTAAAATACCATCAGCTAATAACGGCAACTCTTAGCTCCTAGTGGCTTTTTATGTTTGTTTGTTTGTTTTGGTGTTTTCTGTGAGCCTGACACTCTGCTAAGCACTTTACTCATACCATCAGCTAATAACGGCAACTCTTAGCTCCTAGTGGCTTTTTATGTTTGTTTGTTTGTTTGTTTTGGTGTTTTCTGTGAGCCTGACACTCTGCTAAGCACTTTACTCATGTTCTCACATGTAATCCTTACAAGACCCTTATAAGGAAAATATTAACATCCCCTACGAAGGAGGACAAAGTCTTAGAAATTGGCCACTTTACACAATATCATAAAGCTCGGAAGTGGTAGTTAAATACTAATATGGTTGATAAATATTTTGACAAGCTCTAAAAAAAACCCACCAAATGTTTAATTATTATTACTACCAAGAAACACAAGCAAAAGACATCCTCACCCCAGTCCCTCTAAGCAGGCATCTTGAATGATGGATGGTCAGAGTTGTGTGTTGTAAACATCAATTAGTATTCATTTTCTGTTAACACTTTGAGAAGGGCATTTCCAAATAGGAGCAAAACTTTTTTTTCAGGTCTCAGGCACTCCAAAATTCAAAATCCAAACTCTAAATTATTTCTTTGTAACAATATGCTACACTGCAAACTGATAACTTTTCCTCCTTTACTACATTTGCATCTCTAATTTTTATTTTCTTATCTGCCACATTAGTTAGAACTCATAGGATCCAAGACTGCTTTCTCTGCAAGCTACTGGGCACTGGAGGAAAAAAACACTAAACCAAGAAGATTTCCGGTACGTTTATACATTAAAAATTATCCACCTCAAACAGGTCCTCAGGAATGCCCACCAACACAATGTCCTGGCCTTTCTCCAATCTCCTCTTCTCTCTTCAGGCCTTCCTCTCACCCTTTCTAGTCAGTATCATCTAATCCATGGCTTTTAGTATTTCCAGCTGGGACTTCACACTATACATCCAGTTAAACACCGCACAATTCCATCTGGTTGACTCAGATTCTCAAAATCCACATGCCCCAAATTAACTCATCCTCTTGCCTTGGTCTGGGCTACAATCATTTCTCTCCTGTGGATTACTACAAAAGCATTTGAAACTGATTTCCCAATCTCCAGGCTGGACTTTCTCAAAACATTTCTCCACACTTGACCCTTCACAAATGCTCCTCTCTCTTCCCCTATCATCCCCCTTCCCTAATGTATGCCCACACTATTTTTTGGTTGTGTGTGTTTTTTTGTTTTTTTTTTTTTTTTTGGCAGCTGGCCTAGTACAGGGATCCGAACCCTTGACCTTGGTATTATAACACCACACTCTAACCAACCAAGCTAACCAGCCAGCCCCTCCTAAAGCATTCCTACACATACTTCAGGTATCAGTAAAATGTCAATTTCTCTAGGACTAGGATTACTCTCAACTAGGTTTTTCACTGCTATGTTCCCAGAGCAACATGTAATTGTCCTACCAAAAGCACTTACTTACAGCATTTAACTTTCTTTTTCCTGTAAAGTGGAGACTCTTGTTAATTACTGCATCACCCATACCAGAACAATACTTGGGACACACTTGAATACCATGTTTTTAATTTGTTTGTTACAATGTTAGGTAAATGATAGAAAACGAGGCTCCCTTGTCTTTTTTCTAACTTGTATGGGAAGGCCTCTAGGTTTCAATGTTAAATGTGGCTCTTTTGAGATAGTATCAATCATATTCATCATGAGACAGTGTTTTTCATCATGTTAAAGATGTTCATATTCTAGTGTACTAAAGTTTGTACTCATAAATGGATACTGGTTTAATTTTAAATACTGAGTAGGCAGGCACTAAGATAACCCTACATATTTTGAAGCAAAGAATTACAGATTTTCTAATACCAACCTATCTGTCCATGCAATCTTGCAATAAAGTCTATTGCACGCACACAACTATTATTTTAACATCCTACTAAAAACAACTTGCTAGTATTCTAATTAATATTTTTATATCCCTATTCATAAGACAGACTGGTTAGTACATTTCTTTTCCTTGGTTAGGTTTTGCTGTCCAGGTTTTCCTGCTACCTTAGCATGATCTGAGCTTTTCTTCCATCTTCTTCAATGTTCTAGAACAGTTTAATACTATTTTGGAGGTGGTGCAAATTCAACTTTTTCAATTTTTTCCATAGTTATTGGCATATTAAAGTTTTCTGCTATTTGTGTGAAACTTGTAATTTTATTTTCCTAGAAATCAGCCAATCATATCCATGTTTTTAAATTTTTCAAATAAAATATCTGTACCAATACCAACATTTTATAATTTTAAATTCTCCATCCCCATAATGACTCTCATAGCTAATATTATGTAATTTTTCTTTTCTCGATCTTTTCTATGATCTTTCAAAGAACGAAGTCTCGCATATCTGTACCAATACCAACATTTTATAATTTTAAATTCTCCATCCCCATAATGACTCTCATACCTAATATTATGTAATTTTTCTTTTCTCGATCTTTTCTATGATCTTTCAAAGAACGAAGTCTCGCGTTTATTTACAAATATAGTTATATTGTTATATTTCTGCTTTGATTGCCTTACATTATCCCTAAATCCCCTTTTCTGCTTTACTTAATCACTACCAATTCCTAAAGCCACGTGCTCAGATAATAATTACATATATAGCTACCTACCATTTATGTGGCACTTAACTTTGGGTCTACTTCTGTTTGATGTGTACTAGGTCAATGACCTCTCACCACTCAATATGGTAAGTATAACTGTCCTTATTTTACCAATAGAGACATTGAGGCTTAGAAAGATTAAGTAACTTTGCCTGATAACAAAGTTGGGAGAGCTAATAATTAACCCTAAATCTTAAAGGATTGCTCTTAAATACCATTATACAAGACCACAAATTTTACTTCTGGATACAGAATTGGTTAAACTCTATAAATTCTAGATTACAGCAATCTCAATGCCATTTTTCTAAGAAAGTGCAACTGCAGTTTTGCTCTTTTTTCCTGAAACAAGTAAATTTAAGAGCATAATTATAAATTTCCAAGACTTTTTAAAAATAAGTTGAATTATGAATCTATAGTTCCAAAGCATTGTGGTCAGAAAATGTGGTCTTAAATTCTAATTTTAGAAATTTATCAAGATTTCCCTTTTGCATAATCAATACATCTTGAAAGTAAAGGCTTTTAAGTTACAGCTAGTTTAGCTTTTCACGGGTCATCTTGGACAGACTCTTAAGCTATTACGAAGACTTGGCTGATACTCTGCACAAGCACAAAATCTGAATTCAAGGAGATAATCCTACAACTTCTTTTAGTGTCAACTCCTTGCTTACCTTCCAGATCTCTTATACTCTTTTTTGTAGGACCTTTCCAGAGATGGTGATCTTCGGCTGTCCCGATGCCTGTGTCTCTCCCGTTCCCGCTCTCTTAAAGGAATTAATACACAGAGCTGTTTTCAACAGAAAGACTCAAAAACACCATCTCTTTTCACTGAACTCATCTTCTAAATTAATGGACCACATCTAAGAATTTTTCAGGTGCTATTTACTAGGGGACATTTTTACTCCTCCTTAATTTATTAGAGGATAAAGGAGCTTTTCACTTGACAGAAATTAACTAACTTGAACGATTTTTGCTGTTTTTTTAAAAGAAAGAAGCCATAACTTGATGCTAAGCAATAAAGGGTATTTTATCATAACCTTCTCTCAAGACCTTCCAATCAGCCAATCCTTGGTTATTTAACCTACAAAGAAAATTTTAAAGGACTCTACTGCCTACTGATTTCTAGAAAACTCTCAATTTCACCCAGCAAATAAAGGTAAATTATAAAGGTTTTAAAGTAAAGATTAGGACAAGGTTCTACAATGAAAGAGCTCTGAACTCTTATGGGTTATAGGGCTGAGTTGTAATTCTAGCTATCAGTAATTTTCCATGACAGTATAACTAACACACTTTAATGCTATTTTCATCTGGAAAAAACTACAAATGGAGACACTGGGTTTACCCAATGTAAAAATAGAATGAGTATTTTAAAAACCTTCCAATGTAAAACCGGGATTTAATAATAATAATAATAATAACTTGAGTCTATTTAATAAATACAATGAAGATCTGGAACAAACATTTGAATTCCAGTGTGTTTGAATCAAAACCACAAATCTAAAAGAAGTAACCACCCAATCTTAGAATGGAAAAAAAAAAATGCTATATTAGGCTGAGTCCAGCAAGAAGACTAAAAATGTCTGAACTCAAAAATATCCCCCAACCTATAG